ACAAACGCTCATACACACACAAGTACACACACACCCACAAACGCTCATACACACACAAGTACACACACACCCACAAACGCTCATACACACACAAGTACACACACACCCACAAATGCTCATACACACACAAGTACACACACACCCACGCAACAGTCTAAAGCCAGACGTTCAACCCCACGCCTCTCAGCAGTGAGGGGCACAGAGCTCTGTTGCCATGGCAGCCGCTCCACTGACCCTGTTCATTTGGTCCAGTGTGATGAGGCCCATCTCCCAGAAGGCCTTCAGGAGCTTCACCATCATCTGGATGGCCGTCTCCCCCTTGGACTCCAGGACCATGATTATAGCCTGTGAGGGGGGAGGGGGGGCAGGAGGAGAAATGACAGCAAAAAGGGGGAACTTAAGCAACCACGATACACCCGGCAGCCGTACTTCATCCCGCTAGGCCTTGAGTCATGGGAGAAGATTTGCCTTTGAAAAGTGTGAAAAAGAGGTCAGTATGATTCAATCAGTCTCCCATACGGGCCAGTCAGCAGTGGCATGCGGATCCATCATTCTTCATGCTAATCTATTAAAGTGAGGAATAACCCCAACCTGCCACTAGATGGCAGTGCTGCGCAGGATTTCTGCCATTTCAACAAGAACCCTCCCTCGAGCCCCTTATGAATGTTCATTATTAAGTATAATACCAGAGGTCACAGCCTTTAAGTCAGCTGAGGATCATTTCACAAGTTAGAAACATACTTCCCTTCTTATTAATAAGTTAAGCATGCAAATCACAGGAATTCAATTCACTATATACAGCAGGGAGGTCATTGTTTTGTGGCACTGAGGATTGTGGGAAGGGCTCTGAACCTCGTAAACGAGCTCGTGGTGGAAGTGGGGCACTTCCAGGTCTCTCAGGCAGCGCTCCGCCTCGGACACCTCCCCCGAGACCAGGTACTCCTTCAGCAGCAGGTTCATCTGGAACGTGACAGGGGGCGCTGTGTTACAATCGCACGCACACGAGTGCAAATGCAGCGACACGACAGAGAAAACGTTCTCTTTAACACCCCACCCAAAGGTGTGCAATACCGTCAGCAGTCTAACGCTGTTCACAGTGCTTTACTCGTTCCCAATGGGTTAAAAAGGGTAATGATTCATGTTAATCCCACCCACTGGGGTTTTGAAGAACTGGAACAAGCGACTAAAACAACACTGAAGTCTATAGCATTTCAGCCAATTCAGTGCAATAGAGAACATGCTTTAAAACGGCCCAGGAGCTAGCAAAGTTCACAGACAGCATTAATCGATTTAGAGCAAAACTGGTCTGTGCTGAACCAGAGCTGTCTATGTCCAGGGAATGTAATCAATGCCAGATCAGGCTGGGAGTATGTCGGGAAAATTATATCTCCACAGGGCCCTCTCTCTCACACCGGGGAGGTGAATAATGGCGCAAATCCTCTCTCTTATGGGCTTACATTCTGCACCGTGCTGCTTCCAACTGACCCCATGTGGTACACTCAGAGAGAGAGAGAGAGAGAGCGAGCGAGAGAGAGCACGCAAATTCTGCTGACACAGGAGGTTGGCTCTGAGATAACGATGGCACGTCTCCCACAATTCCTTGCTGGCGCCTGAACCTCACAGGAATACTGAAGCCTCCCCAGGAGGGGTCAGGGTACAACACCAGTAAGCTTTCCGAGCATTTCCACACACCCAGGCAGAAAAATCACAACAGCAGGTAGTGCGGCACCCAAATGGACCTGCTGCTGACAGACATCTAATCTGCCACAAACACAGCGGAGTAAGTGGCAAGTATTTAAAACCGAAAGCTAAAATTTGCCTTTTACTAATGTATTTATAAACTTCAATAAATGTATATATGCAGGCATAGGTTAAAATCTGATCTGAAATTCAGATTTCTAAGTAAATCCCTGCATAATCACTACAGAGGCGTCAACCCCACCTACTCTTAACCTCACCATCAAACCCACGCTCACAATTAATATATTCATACCCCACCCACTACTGTATCCTGGCAACACCCACTCAGGCAACAGGATTCACGCTCACACTGGCCGCCCACTCCTACTCATGCTCCCCGGCTCCACCCACCCTCACCTCCTTAATAAGATGTTTCACGGGTCTCTGACCGCCGCCCACTCCCCACACGTTGTCCAGTCGCACGATCTCCCGCTTCATGGACAGCAGTACGGCTGCCCGGTCCAGGGCTGCCCTGGAGGGAGGGAAGCAGGAGTGTCCCCAAGTCACCGGGGATCATGAAAGCAGGGCATTGTGGGATGGGGAGGGTTACTGAGGGTTCTTAACAGACAGCTGGAATCACCACAAGGTGTCTGATAGGAGACTTGAAACAGACTGAGCTGGAACTTTTTCCCTTCATGAATGAATTTCAAACATGC